CTCTCTTCCACCCTCAATACCACGACTGAGGTGAGACCCTTAAGCAAGGCACCGAACCCCCAACTGCTCCCCGGGCGCCGCATCACATGGTTGCCCACTGCTCTGGGTGTGTGTTCAAGTTGTGTGTGTGCACTTGGATGGGTTAAATGCAGAGCACAAATTCCGAGTATGGGACACCATACTTGGCTACACGTCACATCACTTTTTAATCACTTTAAAACATTACTTTCAACACAATCTTACTGGTACTATCAAGGCCTCTATGTCACCCATGTTATCCAGCTAGATAACATTCTCTTGGTGATAAAACGACAATGCAGAACACATTACAGATTACCAAACGTTTAGGTTTGCAAGGCATAAAAATGGATGTACAACAACAAATGCAGAACTGGCCCAAAACTCTCTCAACACTGGCTCCGGGCCAGTGGGCCATCCTTAAAAGTTCTGTCAAACTCTAGACAGTGCTGACTGTCAGCTTATGCACTTTGGTGGGTCATTAATGTAAACACAGTCAGTTGAGTGAATGTAAACTGTCAGAACAAAGAAAAACATGAGTCAAAAGTTCTGTGCATTAAGCCTTGAAGTCGAAACGCAGCTCATTTTTCAGGGCGCACAGGTTTGTCTTTCTGCCTTCCTGGCCAAGCTTACAGAAAATGCAAAACTTGCACTAACTGCTTAACAACAGCATGGAGAGTCAAACGTCCAGCCTGTGGAACCCGACGGGGTGACAGAGAAGAAGAAAATCTGAGAGACAAAGAGTGATGAAATATTCCAGAGGCTTCTCAAATTGATCTGCAATGGTTGATGCACCCCAGGAATATTTGCTCTGAACTGGAGACAGCTTGCAAAGCAGAAAAGCTCCTCTCCATCTGAAAACAACTCATACTGACTTGACAATGTCGATTACGCCAGACCTTGGGCAAGGTTATCCCCCTCTATGTCAGCCCAAATGGAGAGATATTCATTATCAATGAAACAGAAAAGTGGCAAAAAGATGACTGGACACAGAAAGACCTGAAAAGAAATCAAGGGCAGATGAAGAGGCAGTTTTGGGAGAGCAGAAGGGAGTCCCTGAGTGATGTAGACAGATAAACAAACTCTTTCTGTGATAGATAGGGAGAGTGACAGAAAATTATAGTTGTGCTGGATGTTCGATCAATTCCTTCTGGGTAAAATCAAGTCCTGACTCCCACCCTATATTTTTTCTCATTTAATATCTTACTTCATTTTTAAATAAACTAATATTTGAAGTGTAGGGTCGGTAAAATATTTTAAATGTTTTTGAAAGAAGTCTCTTATGCTTATGCAAGGTTGCATTTTTTTGATCGCAAATATAGTAAAACAGTAATATTGTGAAATAATATTACAATTTAAATAACTTTTCTATTTTTATATATTGTGTCACATGATTTTTTTTTTTATCAATGTTGATAAAAAGTAATGCTGCTTAATTTTTTGTGGAAACTGTAATACATTTTTAAAGGATTTTTAATGAACAGAAAGTAAAAAAACAACAACAACAGCATTTATTTCACATAAATTCTTTGGAACAATGCAAAAAGAATAAACGCAAACGTTTTCTGCCCCCAAACTTTTGAATGGTAGTGTACAGTATATGTCACATTATGGAAAGAAAATGGGTTACAAACAGCAATTCATGCTGACTTTAAGAAGACATAGGCATTTTAACAAGAAATGGCACACCTCACGTCTCAGAGAAATCGCTAAAACATAATGTCCTCTACAGTGGACAAAACTCCATAGCTGGTAGTCAGGAGGTTAAAGGTTTCTCTGAATTAAGACACTTCAGAAACTATAGACTTAAATGCCAAGCATACTTTCGTATGTTGCATTAGTAATCTTTTTATGACTCCCATCTAAACATGAATTTCACTGTGCACACTCACACACTTTTACTTTCTTAATCTTTCTTTACACACACACACACACATAAAGTGGCGTCTTTCTCAAGTTCAGTGTCTGTTCTATATCTCATGTCAGTAAGCATCATGGTAGCAAAGCATCATGATGATCACATGATCGACAAATTGTCATATTTTTAACATCCACGTCATCAAGGAAAGAGAAATGAGCACCATGGCAATGCTAAGATATGTCAAGAGCAGGAGTTTTAGATATGAATATCAGCTTTAGGTTATACTGTGTCTCAAACAGCTCTACACTAGCAGAAACTAATTTTATTTGATCCATTAAATATCGTGCGAAATTTATCGTGCAGCCCTAATTGCTGGACAACTAGTCAAATAGTCGACCATAATGACACATATTTTAATTCATATTACACTGAATTTTCTTAAAAGGACTTTAGACAGCCTTAATATTATAAGTCACAATTTCTGTTCTATAGGTATATCGATACGCAAAATTAAAACATTTTTAAATACCTCTTTGATCTGCTCAAGCACCCCCTTGGGTATGCATACTTCTTGCTGGGAACCACTGGTCTATGTGGATCCAAGCAAATTGCAATGTTGCTAGGTTACAGGATGCAATACAAGCAGAAATGCACTCAAACATCTGTGTATTCTGTAATATTGCTTACACATTTACCCGATTATAGTACTTAATTATAGTACATTTTGGCTCGGTTTTGTAAACAAGTTGATGCTACCAAAAATCAGAGGAGCTGATGCAGTGCAAGACAACCTTCAAGACACAGCATCATTCCTGGGTTGAGTCATCTGTGACTCTGAACCACTGTGACTGACTCAATATTAGATAATCAAATTACAGCTTGCTGGGCAATAATCCTGATTAGCATAGCGTGTTACAATCTGACAGTATTAACAAAGGTAACCTCTCTGCAGTGAAGGGGAAAGAAGACTTAGAACACTAGCTCATGCAAATTGATTTACATACACATGATTAGCAGCTCACCAGGCAATAGCTATTGGGGGGGAAAAAAATTGACTTGGCCTTCTCTAGCTCTTTAGAGACTCCTGACATTTGGTAAACCCTGACCTAGAGACATTTTCTTTAGTGACTGAGAGGTTAAAACTGTGGTAGAGGTCACCTGGGTCTAGTTCATCAGCTTGGTCCTCCACAACACTATTGTAGTCCTGCATGTTCATTTCTTTTATGGCCTTTTACAGTAAGTGCACACCACAGCTTAAACAAAATTACAAGTTATACTAAATGCCATGATGAAATGAAGCAACCTGAGATTTAATGTAACATTAATGTAAATAAAACGTTTTCTTGAAACAAAAACGTACAAACAACGTTCAAAAGTTTGGAGTCAGTAAGATTTTTTTTTTTTTTAAAGAGCAATTGATGGAGAAGGGCTTTGGTTAGTGTGGTGATCAAGAACCCGATGGTCACTCTAGTTTAGCTCCATGATCATATGTGGAGATAGGAGAAATCTACAGAAGAACAAACATCACTGCAGCACTCCACCGAATTGGGCTTTATGGCGGTGTGGCAAGACTCAATCCTCTCTTCAGTGAAGACACATGAAAACCCAATTGGAACTTGCAAAAAAGCACCTAAAGGACCAGAAGGTTCACCTTCCAACAGCACAATGAACAAACACAGCAAGAGTGGCTTATAGACAACTCTGTGAATGTTCTTGAGTAGCCCAGCCAGAGCCTGAGCTTTAACTCAATCAAATATTTCTGGAGAAACCTGAAAATGTGCGTCTGTCCCCATCCAAGCTGACAGAGCTTGAGAGGTGAAGAGGTGAGGAGAAGAATGGCAGATAATTGCCAAATGCTGATATGCAAAGCTTGTCGCATCATACCCAAAAAGGCTTGAAGCTGATAAGGTGCTTCAGCTAAGTACTGAGTTAATACTTATGCAATGTACTTATTTCAGTTTTT